ACAATTCATAGTTTTATATGTGAATTATATAATGTTAAATTACTATTAAACAAATGACTGACTAAGTATTTTAGAGTTTAGTTTACTTCAGGCATATTTCATATAAATCAGGTATCATACAAACATAAAAATAGCTTCAAATACAGTCATGACAATAAAAGAATATGACTTTAAGGACTTAACAACATTACTTCAGTTATAGTGCACCAACATCTCTGATACATTAGCACTAAGGGAACACTGAATGACCTGCTGGTTTTTGTCCATAAAACTACCACTACTAAGATTACCACAAAGTAAAAGATCTCTCAGCAAAATCCTGCAATATTTTAGGCACTATTGCCCCGATCAAATCAGTGAGCTGGGATGTTTTATTCTAAACATGAACTACTGTTACAGCAACGGACACGAACAACAGACATGTCCCACACAACAACTCAATGTGGACTATGTGAAGGACCCAAACACATGCCTTCTCCTCTCGTTAACTGAGATAAACTGCTGGCATATTGGTTTTACATCTATACTGTCCAGCCTCTCCTGGTGGACATACAGCAGCATTGTTTAATCTCATTTGAGTCACTGTTGACCGTAGCCATGTTTTTAGTCTTCTGAGAGCACTGAAGCTTCTTTCAGCCTCAGTACCTGCGTTTTATCCTCAGATTAAAATTATTATTAAGTGCGTGATGTGCCTCACCTTTGGCCCTGGCTCTTCCCCTCTGACTGCACTAAGACATATTGCCACCGGATAAAATTGATTCGTGCCATATAAAAAGTGAGACGTGTCAATTCAGATTCTTTGTCAGATATACATTAATGAATCAATTTACATCAGCAGCCTAACAATTGTCATGATAATAAATACTAGTTAATCTACAGCACCAAACCATCAGTCAGTCACCTGTGACCTCGCCTCTTCACCTCTGAGCTACAACATGGCAGAGCTGCCTCTGTCACCTGATCAATAACAGTGAGACATTCCACATACATGCAGTCACACATGTGCTTCAAATACACTAATGAACCAACAAGTCATCATCCAATTTCACCTGTGATCTTGTGTCACCATTACTTTCTATCACCTGACAAATAGGACATACATGACAATAAGAATAAAATGTGGAGCTGCTTCAGTGTTTCTGTCACTTTGTGCAGATCTTGACTGATCAGTAATGTTTGTAGGGTGAGTGAGTTTTTAAAACAATTTGTGCAAACTGCACTACAGGGTGGAATATTTGCAAACTCCTGACTATCTCATGATATTTTGTCTAAAAAATTAACCCTATGAATATGTCAGGACCATTAGGATGAAATTATTGTGTCACCAACATTTTAACTTTAGACATATAATTTTAACAGCCTCTGTAAACTAATATCCTGGCTTACTCGAGGCTGCTGTTTTCTCTGACACTTTCAATCAAAATTAGAAATGCTGCTCTGAGACTGAGATAACTAACAGTGCTGCCTGTTGTGCAGTTAGTTTCCAAAACACGTTATTCGTGGTTACATACAGTTTTAGACTGATGTGGGCCAAAGCCTAGCATAGCCTGTAACGTTATTGTGACGGACACATTTTATGAGTGAGCTTGACTTTAAGTGACTCACAGGTTTCTTTGAAAAATACTTTCTTATATCCAGGTTCTTCCTTTTTGCTGCCATCCTCCTCTCCTCCTTGCAGGTCCTAGCGGCGCAGGCTTGCCGGCCGCTGCTAAAACTAAACAGAGCTCTTTGAAAGGCACAACCAATCACATTGGCCATATTTGTCACATGATGTAGGACTCCAGTATGGAACGTAATTTAACTCTTTCTTCACAGCTAGGCGAATGAGACGTTGACAGATCGTTTTTTTTCTTTCTGTCGGGTTTGTTTTTCTTTACTCAAAGAGATCAAATTATTGGTGGGGACAATTCAATAATCGCTGGATATTGGTGGGGACATGTCTCTTCCGTCCATGCCAAATCTATGCCCTTGATACAAACCGATATCATGACCAGCAGCTTTTACAGCTGTGGCTCCAGCAAACATCAGCTGATACTAGAAATTAATATTAAATAAATTCTAATGATCAAGCTTAAACGCGCTGCTGTTGTTTAGCGCGACATCCGCTGGTTTCCTCTTTCTGGCGCAAAGTGGGCGATAAACAAAGGAGAGACGGGACTTGCTCAGAAATACCGATCAGCTGATCATTGATCAGTTTCATGATTGAATGAGAGAAGAAGAGGCAGCTGACAGCGTAAAGATGCAGAATAACTCCAGCTTTGTGTCTTTTTCATTGTAGCTGAAGTCCAGGACAAACTGTGTTCCTTTTCAGCTCAATACCAAACACGTGATGTTTTCTCTGAATGCGGGACGATTCTGTTTTTTACGGCACGGTTGGCAACTCGACTAACGAACCTTATGAATAAAATAAAGTTCACTATCAGTAACATCAAAGCACCCACCCAACTGTATAGAAACTCCGTCATGCTAGCTAGTACGCAGAGTTATTGTAACTGACTGTAAAAAGTCAGCACAACGAAAATAAACTCCACCTAAACTTGGTTTATATCTGACCCAGAGAGACTGCAGCTCATAACTTCTTACCTGAAGTTCAGTTCACCTGACGCTCGGACCAGCGGCCGCCTCAGGTCTCTGCTCCTCCTGCCTCACCTTTCCCTCATCCACCTGGCCTCTTGTGGCAGCCACCACCAAACAGTTATTTTTACACATCTGCCAGCATCTGGCCAATCCACCAACTTTCATTGTTTATACCATTACTAAAAAAAAAAAAATCATCGGTGGCCAGTCCAGCTATGGTCATGCCATCAGTTAACCCTTCGTGCCAACTGTGGCATGCGTGCCCAGGGTTGATCTCGTCCTTGTACTTTAATATTTTCCATCTGCTTCATAAGCTGTAAATCGTGCCATTTCTGTTTTAGCTGCGCTGATAACTGCAGTCTACTGCAGGTCTTGGCAGTGTTATTCCTTCTTCCTGCTTGAAAAATTAAAGACAGATTTTCAATCCTCCCCTTAATGTCAACAAGTGCCTGTAGAGATGGTTTATGGGAGGCCATCAAAAGCTTTTAACTGCATGTACGCAATCTAGGGCAAATCAAACAGCCTGGCACTGAAGGGAGAGGCAGGCTTGTGTTCTCCATCTATGTGTCTAAAAGCAATTAGCGGCCCTTGGAGCCAGGATGAGTTGCTCGGTTTCTGTAGCTGTGGCTGAAGCCTTCCCTGGACAGAGAGAAATGTCCCTTCAGGACATTAAGTTACAAACACAGAAGAAATGGTGTTATTTTCTCAAGCTGGGTTCTTTCATTAAAACCAGATCCTTTAGAATGACAAAAACCCACACACACTCTCGAGGATTGGAGGTTACACAGTGCCGAAAGGCACAAGCTTTAATTCATGATTTCTTCTTAGTTTCTTTGTGAGGAAAGCGTGCAAGAAGCAGAGATGGACTGTGTGTGTTAGACAGAAATTCTTCAGAAAGTGTCAAGCCTGAGGCACTCCCACACACAGACCATTATAGAGCACCTTGACACTCCCATTTGGGAAAAGGCTCTGGTTAACATCTGAAGCTATGTTTGTGGTTGTCTATTGAATTGAAAACTATGTGGCTCCATCTTTATAATTGGCTGGCAGCGGTTCCTGTGAATGTAGCTGCCTCGAATTGGGCGAATGAGAAACATGTGCATTTTCTGAAACAGTCTATTGCAAGTCTAAGAGTCGGATGCAAAGACCAAAGTTGACATGCTCCAGCTTCACAGTTGCTCATGTAATCCCTGCTGTTATTGGCAGTTTGAATAAAGATCTTTAAGTAGTTAAGGTAATCCGTGAAATCACATTACTAGGAGTGTGATGCTGCTGCTGCTAACAGCAAAAATTGATTGATCCAAATCTGCATTTCTTCCCTTTGCTCATTTAAATCCACAACCACATGTACACTAATCTGCAAAAACCAAGTGTTCTTGACTCATGAGGGTTTCCGTTGTTGGCCCGGTGGTTTCCTGCTGCCACGGTGTGCTCCATTGCCACCAATTTGAAGCCCAGCAGATGATCTTGGCTTCGGCTGCTTCGGTGCAGCTGGGCTCTGATGGCAATGCGCCACAGAATGAGAGAATGACAAGAGAAGAAAATGATGCAGAAATGAAGGGGAAGGAAATCCCCACTCTTCACAGATTAGGAAAGAATTTGAATGCTGTGCTGTTACACTATATTTTCTGAAAGACACTAGAGAACTTTTAATTATACCGGCACTAAATGAGAAGGTATGTTAGTCCTACATGGTAGGAACTCAGCTTTCGCTTCAGTTGGTTTCTGGTGGTTACAGAAGCCAGCCAGGCACGAAAGCCAGATTAATGCAAGGCCTATTTCGCCTCAGCAGTAACCGTCTGTTGACTCCTGGGATCAAAGGTCACAGAGGAGTCCTGGTAGTCTAGGGTGGAAAAAGAGCTGTCCTACTCTGCTCACTTCACATTTCATAGGAAGCATTCTCCCAAACCCTTTTCACTCATGTGATTCACTTTTTTCAATTATGGTTACTTGCTTTGTCTCGTTTCCCCCCCTCCTTTTTCTTCCTTTTCTTTCCAAGGCAAAAGGATCAGGGAGGGCTAGGGGTTAAAGGGTGTAAGGCCAGCTCATTACTGACTTTGGGTGCAAACGGCTGAACACACATGGCTCCAGTGACACAGCCTAATTACTTGACCAGGGGATAGATTGTACTTTTCAGCCAGAATCAGGGAAAGTGCAGGTCCAAGGCTACAGAGAGCAGCTTGGCTGTGGAGCTTAAGTCCTCAGTTTTAATACTGAGGGGAATACTATTTGAAAGGCACTGTGCTAAGCTTGAGTGTGTGTGTATGAATGTACATGTCCATTTCAAGGACACGCTGAAACCCCACCTGTGACCAGCTGTCTTGTGTGCTCCTGAAACTGTCTGCTACTTGATTTTTAAACCGGCACTGCACCTACTCAGTCAGTGACAGATTTGATAGGCTGTACACATCTGCTTCCTGTATGGCTGTGCGTGAAGTGCCCTAGTCATACATGACAAAGTGCAGCAGGTCTGCTTCGCTCGTATGCACCAAGCTAACACCAGCATAGTGCGCGGCCTACTACTGTGGTTTGCTTTCAGTGTGCTGCCTGGTTTTTCATGCTTTTAAAGTCAAAACTTTGGAACGCGCAGCTTGATATCTGACTTAGCTTCTATGATGAAGCCCCAAGAGAGCAAAAGTAGACCTTTAAAGCAAGGCTATGACTCTAAGATCTGATAACAAGCTCAAAAGGAAGAAAAGGGAAAGTGGGAATTCATGAAGACCAAACACCACAAGGCTACTGTTTGACAAATGGTCAGTGGAGCGTTTCCAGGAAAAGATAATGCAGCCCTGCTTTAATATAGCAGCACATTGTACTGCGTGTACAATGTGCTGTAAAGCTGCGTGTAAAGCTAACAGTAGCAGGAGTCCAAGCAAGAACCAAGCCTGTCATATATGAATGTAACTATGTCCTCACATCCTGATGTATGGCATTCTCATGTCAGGCTTGGCATATAAATAGTGCAGCTGTCAGTGTGTGTAGACAAATGGCAAATGGTGGAAGGCCACACACTTTATAAAAAAGATTGTAAGGGGTGTTATTTTTGTTGCCAAACATGAGTCTAGAGCAAACCCCAATGTTGGCTGAATTCAAGGTCAGTGCTGATTACAAAGTGTCGTGTGTCAGTTTTATAAATGTTTTTTTGAATAGCTTCAGCCTTTCTTTAATTTCTGATGCTAAAACCTCAGAGAATGGGTTCTCGTCAGCTAGGATAAACGTGAGGCTTCAGTGGGGATTAACCTTTTGTCTGCATGGTGACTCCAGCTCCAGTGTCGTCTCAGAGTCAGCTTTTGACTTGCATAATTAGCTCTCTGCACGCCATGGCTTGGTGTAACCAAAATAAGTGGATCACTGAAGGCTCCGGAGCTCTTGCTCACCCTTTCTGTGGTCCAGCTTTCCAAAAATCCTGCAGTATTCCCCTCAACTTTAAAAATGAACTTAAAACCTGAGTTCTGAGAGCTAAAAGGTAATAGTGCATGTATTTAATTTTTGTTACATGATGCATCTCAAACTCTGCGTGAAGCCTTTTTCATACACAATAAACCAATGGCAGTGCCATTAGATATAGTTAATGTTATTTTTCACAGCTTTATGTTGCAACAGTTTTCACAAAAATCTCGTCAAAACTTCTTCAATCTATTGTTAATTTATTACGCTGCAGACACAACTTAAACTTGTGGAACTGGTTCTAATGCAGAATGTCTTGCTGCAGAAAATAATTAAAAAAAATATGAAGACACACAGGTCTATCCTTAAAGGAGTTCATTCATAGATTTGGCATGAGTTGTCAAAGCCGAAGGGTTGAAAGAGATGCGGCATGTCTCAGTTTTGTCCTTTTCGTTTCCAGGGTAAGGTGTGCCATTTAAGCACAGCTCACATGCCTCATAAACATTTAAGCTATGGAACAAATGCCACCTGTAGACCACCTGTTGTTACTCCCTGTGAAACTCTCTGAGATAGCTTTACTGAGTCTGCAGGATGAAACGTTCTTCATTCCTGAGGAGTAAAGTGCTAAACTTGCAGGTATAGATATAATCAGGAGCAAAGTGAGGTAAATCGCTAGTGATTTAATTACTAATTAAATGTGGGTTACCACTTAATTACAGTAGGCTGCAGCCAGAGGAACCTTGTAAGTGTTGCCAGAATCAATGAATGGTCCCGCATCCTTGCTGTTCTGTGGGGAGCTATCTTTGGATATTGCTGACTCCCACTAACTGGTACTGGCTGCAGCAGCTGCCCATCCATCTGTGGCAGAGGGGGAGCAAATAAAGTGGAAGGAAGGTGAGCTGGAGTGGTAAAACCATTAAGTGGCGGTTGTGGTCTTATCTCTGTATCTGTGTGTACACAGGCCCATGGGTTGATGGGAAATTCAGACAGGGATGTCACAGCCTTGGAGGCCCCTGTCACCACCATGACCAGCACCAGCGGCAGCACCCTGACGCCCTGCAGACTGAGGAGCTCCAGTCAAGCGGGACTCCCAGCGCCCGTTACCAGTACATCAACCACCGCGTCTCCTTCCTCATCTGCAGCAGCCTCCTTCTTCATTAGGTAAGCACCTCCCCCATGCTGTCAAGTCACTGCATGGTTAATTGAAATGTGTTTGCATACACACCCGCATGCATTCAGTCTTCAGTGAGTTGAAGAGGAGATATGCACAGACTCGCGTGGTCTCATGGTTTTAACCTCCATGTGGGGCACTTATTCACTGGAGATGTTGTTCTTGCCATGCTTGAATTATAGCATGCCTTGGGATACACATCATGGAACTAAATGAACCTTTTAGTTGCAGGCACCAGTGCCCATGAATAGAAAACAGAATTGCATAATTCGATATGAGGAAGGAGTGTCTCACGAAAGGGGTTTAGGTTAAAGCTAGCTATTGTCCTGAGGTATTTTATGTTTAGTTATTTTTTTCTTTGTTTTGCCTCGCCAATTTAAACGGATCTTGCAATTTTCCAGCCATAGACTTACTGGATGCTCCCACAGGTGTAGCGCAGGATGCATTTTTTGTAAAAGCATTTTGGTCCCTGTGTATCCAAGGCTGAAGAAGCCTGTTTTTAAAGCATTGCTTGGCTTTGGTATTGTCGTTGCCCTGGAGAAGACTTCACCCTCTCTGTGCGGGTGCATGGTTGGGGAAATATTGTCAATGACAGATTCCCTGGCAGGCCAGTGCATACATTCCCTGCCTCATCTCTCCAAAAAGTGCTGTGTTGTAATGAGCGTTTCTGAAAGGGAAGCTGGCTAAGAATGATGCATAGGACCATTGACGCTCTGCACCACAGGAGACAGAGAAAACCGGTGAAGGGGCTTGTGGAGTGTGACAGGAAGCCCATGGGGGATCAGTATGTGGCTTAGCTTTTCTTCAAGCATCCCAAATGGAGTTTGTGTTGCCAGCTTTTACAGGGTCCAAGTATATCAGTGGGACCATGAGGTCTTTCCTTTGACTAAGGGGATGTTCCAAATCCTCCACCTAATATGTAACTTCCTGTGTATCTTGCTTCCTGTTGCAGGAGCACGAGGTTTAAACAACAGTGAGGCATGACCTTCTGCTAGACAGGTTAAATTCCTGACATTGATTTATTAACGCTCATGTTTTCTTTGGACTTGAGCTAAAAGAAAAAGATAAGCATAAAGAGCTGCATCTAGCCATTCAGTGTGGACAGGAAAAAAGAGGAAGGTGGACTTGTTCTTTTCCCTGCAACAGGGCCTGGTGGAGCACACGGGGTGTCGAGAGTGCGCTCCACCACCACCTTTTATTTTATCCAAAAGATAATTTGCTGCCAAGAATGTTTTGTTTGACTTGGCTCGCAGAAATACGATAATGATAGGCCAACCTCAAACAGCATTGGGTTCTGCAGATAGAAAAAAATAGGGTGGAGGAGATCCACTGTTCTCCATTTGAAGCACACCCACTTCCTGACCTTCTGCAGCTGTTATCCCTGCAACAGGGATCATCATCAACATCATGGTGAAATCGTTGTTGCTCATTTTTTAAAAACATCATTGTTGTCTGAAACGTAAAACAGTCAAAACAAATTGAGTCATTCAACAATATTTTCCATTTGCTCTGATAGTGCTGTAGCTGCAAAAAAAAAGCAGATGAAATTAGCATCCCTCATGTTTTAGACATGATTGAAAACTCAGATCTGATTAGTATTCTTTTTTTGTTCTCCGTAGATACAATTAGTGAGATGCACGTGCAAATCCTTCGAGCCCAGGGTGTAAGACCAGAATAACCAAACAGCAGTTTTTTCTTATCCCAGTGGCGTGGAAACAGCTCCTTGGACACTTGTCTGACATTCACTAACACTATTCCATTCACAGATGAAATTTTAATTAGAATGCAATTAGCCGGAGTCTAGGTGTTCTCGCTAGGCTGTTGGTGAGAGGAAAAGAAAAGCGATTAACAATGTTTAATTTTGCAGCGGAAAAATAAGTCAACCATTCAACTAGTTAAAGAAGCATTTAGTTTAAATATGTCAGGTAAAAACACTGGTTTGATAACAACACAGCATTTGCATCTCCTTAGATGAATTATTTGTGCCTGTGAATTGACTAATTGTGTCTTCAATGTTTTATTATTTTAATTTATTCTAATAGTGTCAACTTTACAACAAGTAAACTTTGATATTTTTATGGTTAGATTGTTCTAAGAGCAGCTTTGCCTCAGATTTCTAGTATATTTTGGGATTTTAAATGTTAAATTCAGTCTCTTCTCGCCACATCCCTAAGACTTATTTAAGTATTTAATGTAACTTGTGGACAGATCATTTATTTGATAGACCAGATGATTATGGAAAAGAAGCTACTACTATTAATTTAAGAGACCAAATGACTCATTTGTTCACATGAATTTATTTGATTAACAGCATTACAGAGATGCCTTCCAGGCTATGTAGACAAATGCAAGTCAAAAAAAAAAAATCCAAGTGTAGCTTTTATTCTCTGAATCTTCCCATTCCAAGTCCATCAGCCATTTATATTATCTTGATGCTTCTTTTTCTTCCACTTGCAGAAAATAGGAAAAGTCTTTGATCATCTAATGAATGCTTCTTTCAGGCTTATGTGAAATTCCAGCTCAAAAACAGTTCTTTTGTCCCACTTCCTGTTTCTCGTAATCTTAGGAAATAGCTTGAAACCAAAAGATGACCCCAGGGCCAGTAACGACCAGTTTGCAATTAGACTGACTTTACAGTTGCAGAGAGACAGGAAGAGTCAGGGGTCAAACTCTGACTGGATGGTGTGTGTGTGTGTGCATATCATTATGTGTGTTTGGCTACGTCAGTGTGTTACTTGGGGTAATGAATTTAGAGCCATGTGTTCAGCTGACTACCACGTTAACCACTGATTGTCTTGTGACAGAGCATATGATTAGTGTATTGACACACCGCTGTGTAATGAAACCAGGCGACGCTCACAGCAGGGGCTAGACGGTGCGGCTAACTGCTGCCTCGCACAACCTTCTCCCCATCTTTCTCTTCCATTAACATCTGCTGATTGTGGCAGTGTGTTTATTACACACCAGGCCCATGAGATGAGAGGGGATGCTTGCTCAGTTTGCAGCCAACTTTGATCAGCTGGCAAATTTTGTGTGTAGCAGTATGAGATAGTGTTATCTTACGTTGTTGGGCCCCTGTTTAAGTTTGTCCATCTACCGTCTCTTATCATACCCCAGAGATGGACAATGAAGTCACTCTTAAGATGCAAGGAGATAATGAATAGAGCAGTATAGAGGACCTCAGAGACACGACAGTCGGTGGCACGCAGGCTGAAAGGTTGGGATTTGCAGGGGCTGGGCGGACAGCTGTTTGCTGGAATGCGAAGGAGGAAATGGTTTCATGGTCATCCACCGGTGCCTATAGCTGCTGCCCAGGTGAGTGTTTGTGCACTAATGACTGTGATTGTGCAGAAGGGATCCTCCTGTAATTGTGGCAGCAGGGCCATTTAGCCTCGGCTCTCCTGCACACACACACAAGACTGTGCCTTTGTGTCAGGAACGCTCACTCTGCCCTTCATCCCCTGGCTGCTCTGAGTAACCATAGAAACAAGTCATTAGCTTGTGGGAATAAAATGTAACTGATTTTTCTTTCAAAAGTGAAGATTGGAAATCAGGAAGTTGAAACAGCCCTCTCTACTCCACTGGACTATAATTTAGTCAGAAGAAGAGCATCTCTTCAGTAATGAGTCCTACATGCTGCACAGTGGAAGCGCAGCAGGATGACAAGTAGCTGTTCTTGCTCTGAATAACAGGTGACTTGCTGAAGGCCAGTGTCCAGTTATGTTTATTCTGGAGTTTGTGCGAGAAACTGAGCCGGCCTATTCGTTTTGCTTGTAAAGGAGACAGTGATGCAGTTGTATGGCGTCCATAGAGAGGCTCAGAGCAGACAAAGCAGCTCACTGCTGGCTTTGGTTGGCTGTGCTGTGATCGACAGCAGGGATCTCAGTGAATGACAAATAGGCAGGATAGATTATGTGAACCAGAGGGGTGCACCGAGCACAGCTGATCTGGCCCACATGGCAGGGAGGATAAAGAGTGGGGCAGTAGCAGCTCCTTATAAGTGTTGTCATTCAGACGGCGTGCTCGGGCTGATGCTCCTTTCTGACAGCACTAAGAGCAGGAGACCTGTACCTGTGGAGAAGAATATTGGATTCACTACCATGAGAGTGAAGTAAGCTATTTTGTGCACAGACATCATTGAGCGCACTTGGATATTTGATATTCGTGTGTGTTTGTGTGCGAGAGGTGCCCTGTTTTCTTTCTCTCTTCCCCTCCCCTCTCACCCCTTTCTCTCTCTTTCTCTCGCTCTCCCTCTCAATTTATCTTTCTTTGTGTGGCACACGCTCTTTTCCGCTCTGTGGAATGTGCAGTTTTGTGCAGTTGGAGTTGGACTGTCTGATCCCTGGAGGTGAGAGGCTAATGGTTTTGTTGTCAAGCCAGAGCGAGATGGATTCCACCACGAGAGCAGGAGTGTGAGTGGAATGTATAGCATGTGTAACATACTGTAGAAACCTTGGCTCCATTTTGAGAAAGTAGCCACAGTGGAGCTGAAATGTTAATACTACCTCTGTCTCCGGAGTCTGACAAATGAGAATTGATTCATATCAATCTGTTGAATCTGAGCAACACATGCCCAGGGCAGCGAATGGCTCATCAGAAGTATTGAGTGGGTGGTAGCTGGGATGGTTGAGCTGCTCTCTGGTATTTGTCTTTGTTTACTGTTGGATAAAACACCAGCTGGTATTTTCCTGCCATAATCTGGCTGATGGGACTAATGGCTGCCTCTGTGCAGCGGCGGACCCAGTGGCAGCTGAGGCCACAAAAGGGCTGGGGCTCAGTAGATAAACCCAGGTGTGAACCTGTGAACCAAGGCCTGTCGGGCACCGTCAAGGCTGAGGTGTTGATGGAGATCCTGCCTGGCCTCGGAGCCTCGGGCATCTGTGTCGAGTAGATACATCTCACTACCCACATCCACCTTCTCATCCACCCGCAAAAAGCAAAATGCCGCTCCACTCTGACTCATAATCCTCCATCGTTCTCAGGTAACAGA